GAACTGGCATGCAAATCGCGTTAGGGTGTTTCTTAAATATTTTTTGGTATTTGCCCTAACGCTCGTAAAAACGTATTACGAATTGGTTTGATGATGATATTCAATGTCACATAAATATGAGTAAAAGTTACTTATTCCAAGAATGAGCGGTTCCTGCCTTAAGGACGACAATTATTCATAAACAAGCAATTCATTTGAATTTCAACCAACTACGAAAGCCATGGCCACTGGCCCTTCCAAGTGTTCCAGTGTGTCCAGTGGGTCGGTTGACGCAGGCACGATTCGTGCTTTTTCCAAGAGCACAAATATTGAATATACCGAACTGGCTCGAGCTTCTCGTGCCCAGGTTGAATCGCAAATCAAAACCGCAGTCATTTAGACGTGGTCAAGAGGCTATGTCAAATTGCGCTTCGTTCGGGTGCTTGAAAAGTTTTTTATTTATTAGAGTCGCTACGTTATAATAAAATGGTATCAACCCATCCGTAATTCGAGAGAGAAATTTTGTGTAAGCGTAAATTTATAGATAGTTGTCTCCAAAATAAATGTGAGCCTAATACAAAAAAGAGTACGCGAGGCCTTACAACATATTTAATTCCCTAAATTCTCTAGTGATTGATATAATAAGTGATAAAATAATAATAATAAATAATAAATATTGGTATATTCCGAAATCAGTGAAAATGATTTCGAGTACATTACTGTTGTTAAAATGTATTTAATATTCAGGAAGAAACATTCACATTCAGTGTCCATATTCTTAGTCTGGATTAGCAGCTGTCTGCATGTCTGATTGTCCGCCCGTCCGCTCGTCCGTCTGTTCGTAAGTAAAAACACGTAAATGTCTGTATCTATAAGTGTTGGAAATTATATATACTGGTCGAAATATTGCATACACCAATCAAGTTTGGTTCACTTCCCCGTTTTTAGTATCCTTTGAAATCGACAATTGAAATATAAAAACTAAACAATTTTTTTTTTTGTATTAAAAAGGGAATATATTGTTTTCCCATGTTTCATTCATGGGATACGTCGGCCCTGTTCTTTGCTTTCCAGCTCTTAAGTATTTGAATTAAAGGAAGCAATGATCTTAGCAGTGAATAATTGTTAGTATTCACAGGTGCACTGCAGAGTACGCCTTAGTTCATCTCGTCTAGTCAACGCCTAATTATGTTTTCTTTTTTCTCCATTTCATTTACGGTATACATATAATAATAGCTCAAGTATATAAAATTAGGTACTACGCGCAAGCCAGAGATAAACTCACCGCGTCTCTTAGATTTGTTGAGAGTGTTGGCCTTTTATCTCCGTCAACGCAGAGATAGGCAATAAATTGAAATGCATAAACTACCGAGCACCGCGTACTCAATTTTTCAATAGATGTGAGTGAGCGTGTGTGTGCTTGTATAAGTGTATGTGTGGGAACCTCCAAAAGTCGATGCAATTAACCTAAATCCAAATAAACCATTCGTTTGCGTGTAATTTATTTAGATAAAGTGAACTCTGAGTTTAACTTCTGGTGTCTATGCACAGTTGCTTTCTCCTACTCAAGAATTACGTCAGTGCAGATATTTGAATATTCCCATATTATGCAAGGGTGTCAAAATTCTCTATTATAAAAAAAACCTACCAAACAGAGCATCGCGTGATTTAGCCACTAGACTGTATTTTGCATGCTGAACATATTATATCGAGAATATTTAACAAGGAACAATGGGGAGTGTCCGACTATGAAATACCTGATATCCACGGCCAACTTCTAATCAATTTTAGTTTGGTAATATACACATATCCATATATACATGTATGTATATATGTATGTGGATACGCACCCAATCGAACCCTATGTGCATATTCACCCCAAACCTCATTAAAGGAAATTTCGGTCATTAATAAACAAAGAACATGACAAATTATGCATTTAGTTACCAAACTCAACTATGTGATCTGAGTTCACTATAGTTTTTATGGGTGGTATACAAAATGGGTATTATTCATCATCTGTATATTCATTACGGATGTATGTTTAATTTATTTTACATACCAATTTTGTTGACTCTATTCTCTAAATTATATTTCGAAATATAATTCAAAGACACAGCTGGTTATCCTGCTCAGTAATATATGTATATACTTTGTAAAGTCGATTGGGCTCCATTCTCTCTATTAAATATATACATATGTATATTCAAACAAGGCCGCAATACCCGCCGTTCCCAGTTCCCAATGCATGCCCATTTCCGGATATAAAAAGTTTGCAGCGGAAAACCGCAGCTATAACCATGTTAATATTTGTGCACATACTGAAAGTATACAAAGTTGTAAAATATATTGCATGCTTGTGTGAGACACTTTTAGGGAAACTCTCAATCTGAGTATACTTTAATTGAGCGGCATAAAGCAGCTTTGTATATTGGGAAATGGAAATTAAAGCAACTCAATGTGTTTTATTATTATATTGTGTCTTACGATTAAACTATAATAATCCATTGAATTAGCTTGGAAATGTATAGGTCTGCTCATAGAAAATCGATTAACAATAATATGTCTTCAAATGTCGCCATGCAATGACCACTCGAAGTGTTGGCAAGGTCAGGTCAGACCAACCAACCAGACCAATTAGATTCATATCAGAACTACACATAAATTTACTATAAAACGATTTTCGGCTTTTATTGGCGATGGCAGTATTTGCATTACTAATAGCTAAAAATATCTTATATGTTGATTCATATAAACTATACCCAATGGAATATAATAATATACTAATA